AAGAATCCATTGGACTTGATATAAAATTATCCACTTCATTAGACATGCAAAGCTACTTCTTCCTTTCAGCAATATCTTAGCAGCAAGCATAATTTTTTTTTCAACTACACCTAAACAGAAAAACAAATTTCTCTTTTAGCAATGCCTCGGCGGCGAGTAGAATTATTTTCTTGAATGAAAGCTCAACGGAAAGCCAAAAATCTTTTTCCTTTGCAATAACATTTTGCCGGCAGATCAAATTCCCTTTATAGTTGCAATTTTGGTGACGAACCAAAATTATTACCTACAGCTACACTTTGGGCCTAATTTCTTTCTTGTAGCTACAATTCAGTGGCATGCCAATTTGACAGGGTGCGACGAGCACTTTTGATATTGTATGATGAGTAACAATAATATCTTGACAGCAAGTGAAGTTGACAAATTGAGACAAACCCTTTTGATATCTCGTGACGAACACATTTTGCTATTTTGCATACTTTAAGGATTTTTTTATTTTTTTTAGTGTCATACTAAACTTATAATAAAATTCTAAACTGCCTACGTACCCTCAAAAGAGGGATCAAGTCATCACGTAGTTCAAATTTTTTTTTTTTTTTTTTTTTTCTCTCTCTTCCAGATAGTTTATACTCGTATCAAAGAGTTTTTGATTTTTTTTTTTTTTTTCTTTTCAGGTAGACAGTTTAAACTCGTGTCAAGGAGTGTCATCTTTTTTTTTTTTTTTTTTTTTTTTTTTTTTTTTTTTTTTTTGGGAGACAGTTTAAACTCGTATCAAGGAGTTCTTTATTTTTTTTTCTTTTTTCTTTTTTAGGTAGATAATTTAAACTCATGTCAAGGTATGTCATCATTTTTTTTTTTAAGATAGTTTATACTCACATCAAGGAGTTTTGAATTTTTTTTTATTTTTTATTTTTTTTATTTTTATTTATCTTTAGGTTAATAGTTTATACTTGTGTCAGGAGATTTATTTTATTTTATTTTTCAGACAGTTTATACTCATATCAAGTAGTTCATTTTTATAATTATTATTTTCAAGTAGACATTTTATACTCGTGTCAAGGAGTGTCATCAACAGTTTATGCTCGTATCGGAGAGCATTTCAACTTTGCAAGAATCAAACGACAATCTAAGCTTAAACTGGAGGGCACGGACTATCTTGTCATCACTTTGAAGATTTTCTTCTTGGTTACCTTGACTTAATGCCCCCTGTGATTTAACACTTTCGGTTGAAGTCATTATTGTAGCATGGTGCGTTTCTTGATACAAGTCTCTCAAGATGATACTTATAATGAAAGATGAAGCTACTTCGTCATCTAAGTTAAGAAGTATTTTGTCTTTTTCTTCAAACTCATTTCCCTCATCTTTTTGAAGGTTGTCAGATATATCAGGAACATCTTCTCTAGCACCATGATTTTCCAATGCTAAGCTCCATGTCGTGGGCTCGAGTAACAAGCTCTTTAAATGTGCGGGGCTTAATCCCTTGTAGGATGTAAAGAAGCTCCCAGTGCATGCCTTGCATATATGCTTCAACTGCAGAATTTTAGACAAACGATCATTGCAGTCGAAACTTAGAGCTCGCCAACGGTTGATGTAGTTAACTACGGGTTCACCCTTCATTTGTTTTGTGTTTGTAAGCTCCAGCATACTTATAGTACAACGAGTGCTGTAGAAACGGTTGAGAAATTCTCGTTCCATCTTCTCCCAACTGTTAATACCTTTAACTTTAAGGTCTGTGTACCAATCAAATGCATTCCCTTTGAGGGAACTAACAAATTGCTTGACAAGGAGATCTTCGTTTGTACCAACATTGCCGCAAGTTTCTGCAAAGTGTGCAACATGTTGGTTGGGATTAGCTTTTTCGTCAAACTGTTGAAGCTTTGGAGGTTGATACCCAACTGGCATTTTTAAGATGTTAATTCTTTCTGTGTAAGGCTTTGAGTACATGCGAGCACTTTGAGGGACGCCACTGTATTATTCTCTTATGCAATTCACTGTCTCATTTTTCAATGTGTTTGGTTAAAAAGTTAAAACTATTCTAGTATTGATACAAATTCTAGTATTGGATATAAAAATATACTACATATTTATTGTTTGAATTTTAATAGAATTTGGATTGGACATGATTTAAATGGATCATGTCTATTAATGTAACTTAAAAATTAAGAGAAATTAAAATTTTATATATAATAAAAATATATATTATTATTTTACTACTGTGTCCTATTTTTTAAAAATTTACTATATCACCGTGTCCGTATCGTATCGTACCCGTGTTTCGTGTTGGTGTCCGTGTTTCATAGCTTAAGAGCCAAAAGGGTGATAAGAAATTGAAACCAAACAAAACTTAAAGCACACTTTTTAAAATATGAGATGAAAATATTATGAAAAGTTTACTTTGAAGAAGTTGTGCATGACCCAATATATAAACACGCCTTTGTAGCTAAAAAAAATTGCATAGTGTTAGATTAATTTGTTGATCATTATTAAATGAAAAGCCTTTTCACGTGCTCATTTTGGTCACCTCCATCAAGGTGTTATAGCAGTATTTTACATAAAAGAAGTTAGTTTTCAAACCCAAATTTATGTCCCTAAGCGTCGGTGTGAATATTAATCACAATATTAAATAATAGTAAAATAATATAAGGACAGATTGTTTGAACTGAAACAGAAAGCTCATTGATCACTCATATTAAAATTGTTAACAATTATTTATTCTAATAATTTATTAATTATTAATTGTAATAATTTAAAATGTTATATAGGCATAATTTTAATGTTTATATTCTTCAACAATACGTTTTCTTTGGTATGACCTATCATGTTAACAATTATTTACTCTCAAAACTTATGGCCCATTTGGTACCCTTTTTGGTTTTGTTATATTTATTTTTGTTGGATACTGTAGCCATGAATAGTTGAAAAAACATATTTAATAAAAAATATTTTATTTTGCATAGCAATGACATGTTTCAAGAATAGTGGCAAAAAATCGAAAGATTAATTTGGTGTTTTTACGTGTTTTAGCACTATATAAGTAATAAAAAATAAATTTTTTAATTTTTTTTGAAAAACTCTTAAATGACCTTTTTAATCTAACCATTATATTGTTCAAATTTCTAAAACTTTTTTACCAAACATGTTTTTGCTTCAAAAAATCATATAACAAATGGGTGTTACAAAACATGTTTTCGATTACTATTACGTAAATCACTTTACACTACATGACACTTGTTTTATTTCGAGTTAAAACAAAATGCAAAGTAAGCAGGGTTTAAGCTGTTAGAGAAAGTGCAAGTTTAATATTTATATCCTTGAATAAAAATCACAACTTTTAAAGGACAATATCGTCATAATACCAATTTTATCTCTTTCATTACCCCGTCTCATTCAAATTTTCTTTGGCCAGTTTGGCATGCGTTTTGTTTTTGGCTAAAACAGAAACAGTATATTTTAGACGTTTTGTTTTTGACTCATGTTCCGCTATTGTTATGGTTTTGGGCCATGAACAGTTATCAAAATAAGAAAAAACAATTTTTTGGTATTTTGATTTTAGGTCATTGCTTACAAAGTGTTTTAGTACTGTGTAAAATAAAATAAATTCGCACCAAATATATTTTTATTGTCAAAATTGATACTATAAAAATCTAAAAATAAAAATAACAGAAACAAAACGCATGGCATACATAATTTATAGTGATTGTTTTCAACCTCGAAGTTATGTGAATTTTTTTCACAATACGAACTTACAAAGCAATAACACGTGAGCATTATTTAACGACCTTAATTAGAGAACTCAATATCTTAATTTCAAGATTTTCTCACTCTGGAAATTCTCTGAAACTGTGCCTTCCATATTCTCACATTATTAACGACATGTGATAGCCATCTTTTCCATACTTCGTGCCGATCACTAACGTATATTGTTAGAACGTCTTGTGACTAGGTAATTAAAAAAGTGACACAAGACTCACGCTGGTCACATGGGCTAGAAATTAATTGAAAAAAGAAAAATGATTTAACCAAAATCAAGCAACTGGTTGTATAGTCTAGAAATCAGTTGAGAAAAAAAAATAAATAAATAAAAATAAAAATAAAAAATTAATAATCGAAAACAAACTCAACGGAATCCCAACCATACTCCGCAAAAGCAAGTGAGGTGCTTCATTGTCTGTTTGTTTCACCGAGCATATCATTGCAGTATGGAGTACCCAAAATATATTAACCCATTAAATAGTATTTGTTATGGAGAAGTCCTCGGTACTAGAAATGTCAATGGGATACAGTTGGGACAGGGTTGCCTAATTCATTAGAAAATTTATCATATTAATTTCGTCTCTGTTTCAGTACGAATTTATAATTCATATGTCAATTTCGTCTTTATTTTTGTAGATAAAATATCGACTTTGATACGCATACTCCGTTTAATTGCAAGGTGGAATGGGACGAGACGGTGCAGAATTGGACAAATTATGCTACTTTTATTATGGAGTAAAAAAAACACTAGCTGAATGTCTTTAAATTGAGCTGATAAATAAGCACTTTTAAATTACTAAGTAATTTTATATTAATAGACACTTCTAGCAAAATAATAAGAGTTTTAAAAATATATTATATATATATAAAAAGTTAAAGGTACATATATAATCGGAGGCAATGGATTATCACTAAATTGGCTATACCAAAGGTATTCTTGGAGTACAAAATATTTTTTTAAGCGTTAATATTCAGGCCGACTAATTAAGCTTATTTGTTAAAATAAAGCATGATATTGATTATTTCAATTGACAAATACACATAACTAGTCGATTTGAATATTATTTTTTAATATAGGTGATTGCCCCCACGCTCTGTGTGCCTGTGTCCGCGGGTGTGTGTAAATGAATCTTTCTGAATTCTTAGGAAAGGGACAATCAGAACCTGTCCTTACTTGTTTCTCAAGATCCAAAGTGGTGATAAGAAAGTGAAACCAACCCGTGAATGATTGCAACACAAAACAACAATGAGAATTTCACAACAATGAGAATCAAACAAATTAAGCCTCAAACCAAAAGATTTTGCAATATCAACATTCCTCCTATTTTGGCTTGGCCTCTCTAAGGAATCTCTCACCTATTCTTTATTTGGTCCCCATGATCATCCATTAATAGTCCTCCCAACCTCCTCCCTATCTCGTCACTATCCTCCACAAATCACCACTCAATAGACTCCACCTCTCTTTCATCACCAACAATTTAGAGAGAGAGAGAGAGTCCATTATGGCCAAACTCTGGTGTTTTGTGTGTGTAAATATACTATTTACAGTCTTTCAAATTGCCAAATCCAAAAAAGAACAAGTAACAACACCCCCATTGCCAATTCTTCCATTACCATCGTATTCCCAATTGAAATGGCAACAGAGAGAGATCATAATGTTCCTCCACTTTGGTGTCAACACGTTCACGGACTCCGAATGGGGAACCGGAGATGAAAGCCCATCCATCTTCAACCCCGCGGGACTCAACGCCGGCCAATGGGCTGACACCGCGGCCCAAGCCGGTGTCTCCCTTATGATCCTCACTGCAAAACACCATGACGGCTTTTGCTTATGGCCTTCTAAGTACACTGACCACTCCGTCATAAGAAGTCCGTGGAAAAATGGCCATGGCGACGTAGTTCACGAGCTCGTCGACGCTGCAAAAGACCGTGGCATCGACATCGGCCTCTACCTCTCGCCGTGGGATCGCCATGATCGAAGATATGGGCGTAATGTGGAGTACAATGAATACTATTTGGCTCAATTACAAGAGTTACTCAACAAGTAAGTCTTTCAAAATTAATAATATATATATATTTTTTATTTTTATTATTTTTATATATATAAAATTGTAAGGTAAATTTTGAATATGTGCAATTACCGAATTTCATTTTTATTGAACATTTTGAAGGTGATGTGAATAATTTATTTCTTATAGATATGGAAGTGTTCAAGAGATATGGTTCGATGGAGCAAAGGGCTCAAATGCGCCAAACATGTCCTACTACTTTAGTGATTGGTTTGCAATGGTGAAAGAATTACAGAGCACAATTAACATATTCTCCGACGCCGGTCCGGACGTCCGGTGGGTCGGAGACGAACAGGGTTTTGCCGGAAGCACATGCTGGTCCACCATTAACCGGACTTCCCTATCAATCGGAAATGGTAGCATTGTCAAGTAAGCAACGTTATATTCAAAGCTAAACAAGCTTCCACCAACTTTTTCTTCTTTTCTTCATGTTTGGTAAAGCAGTATGCATTATTGTATAATAATGATCTATTTTAATCATCAGTTGGCACTATGCTACTATCACATTAAAATATTGGTTAATAAATTAAATACACACTAAATAAATATATTTCTATCATGGTATGCTGATTTAATAAACCACCTTATCGTGACAAGCAATCCTATTTCTTTCAATAATTCCTTTTAAAAAATCATAATTAATTTAGTGACGAAATCTAAAAATAATTGCTATATGATGATCATGTTCATTATAAAACAATTTAAGTAACCCATAATTTTATTCAGATAAAAATTTTAATTTTTGACTAGTTTTGGAGGCTAATTAAATACCAATGTACCAATTCTCAAGAACTATCTACATCATCTATGTGTGATAATTAATTATAGGAACTACTATAATAATGCAGTTATCTAAACACCGGTGATCCGAAAGGGACTGATTGGCTACCAGCAGAATGCGACGTTTCGATCCGAACAGGGTGGTTTTGGCATAAATCACAAGCACCAAAGAAGCTAAGTGAGCTACTTGAGATTTACTACAACTCAGTGGGACGAAACTGCGTGTTGTTACTCAATGTGCCACCAAACACGACCGGACTAATATCCGAAACCGACATTCAGAGATTAAGGGAGTTTAGAAGTGCAATTGACACTATATTTGGCGCCAATTTGGCGGAGAAATGCTCAATGAAAGCTAGTAGCCAAAGGGGAGGAAAGAGCGGAGGTTTTGGGCCCGAAAATGTGCTAGACAGTGACCATTTGTGGACATACTGGGCACCAAGTGATAAGGATGAGGAGAGCCGTTGGATTGAAATAAGGGCGACCAATGGACCGCTGAGATTCAACGTGATCCGGATTCAGGAAGCGATCGGGCTAGGGCAGAGGATCAAACGGCACGAGATTTATGTGGACGGTGATCGAGTTGCGAGTGGGACCACGGTTGGGTACAAGAAGCTCCACAGGCTTGAAAAGGAGGTGATTCATGCCTACAGTGTGAGGATACTAATCAAGGAGTCACGGGGATTGCCTTTGCTCTCTTCTGTTGGCCTGCATTTTGACCCCTTTTGGCACCCAAATCAGCAGTGACCACCTCAAAAAATGGTCCACTTACCCAACTATTTTGCATTTTTCTTTAAGGCGTGTTTTAAGTTCTCTCTGTTTTACTCTTGCTTAAAGTCATAAATCACAGCCAAAAGGTTTAAAAGGCATGAAGTAATTGAAGTTTCCTAGAATTCATATGTCGTTTGTGAAACTGTTTATTTTATTTTTTATTTTTTGGTTGTAAAATAGGGTTGTGGTCCGAAGTAGTACCACAAATAATTGATTGGTTGAACTTTTTAGGGATTTTTATTCAGATTAAGCCAAAATCTTTAGTTTGATTGAGTGCCCCTTTGAAGCTGCTTTTTAGAAGTCACTTGTTATGAAATAAAGGTCTCATTCCACTTTTTCCTTATTAGTTTAAGGCAGTACTCTTATTCCACTTTCTTCAATAATAGTGACCATATTCCTACTTCCAAAAGATTTCTTCAAATTAAATTGTGCGCGCGCGCGCGCACAGACACTACCGAGTTTTTTTTTTTTTTTTTTTTTTTTAACATTAATTACGTTAAATTCCCTTAACTATTTTTGAATCGCAAGAAACTCCTGAACTAAAAAATTAGAACTATAAGAAATACACACTTGAGGACAATTCATCAAGTAGCTGTTAATGGAAAAAGCAAATTGCTTGTTTGCCCTTAAGTTGATTGACCACATTTAAATTGTTTACTGACTTTATATGCTAAAAAATATTTCCACCAAGAATGACAACTCAATTAGTAATTTATAATTAAAAAGTTACATTATTAATATATACACACATATATAACAAAATCGTGATCTCTTGCTCTATGTCGAACAAGAGATTTATCCACACCTTTTATAATGACCATTAAATTAAATCTGACGGTCACATTCAAAACCCACTTATTGCATTTTCAAATACTATAAAATCACTCTCTTTTTATTTTAAAATTTTAAAATTAGTATTACCTATACCATCTAGTATAAAAATAAAAGATAATTACTATTAGAATATATTGTAGAATATATTATTGCTATATTGAATAATATATTATAACCTTGTATAGGATTATCATATATATAATTACCATATATATATAGTATTTACTTGTTCATCACACATAACCTCTCCTTTATAAACCCATCTTGTATACATCTCTTACACATCAGTACAATACAGAGTTCCCTCTTTTATATTTAACATGGTATCAAAGCCAAGTTAACTTTTTTTTTTTTCTTTGATGACTTCCAATAAGATCATCAAGCATACATCCTATTATGGGTTCGAATTTGAGTATTAGCAAGTCCTTTCGCAATTCTAAGCATACCAGGCGAAAGAACACACTCAGATCATCCCGATACCACCAAAAATAGCCGAAAAACACCACACAGTCGCTCCCACGCACCACCAGAAGGTTTTGCCACCTTTTTCTGTCAGCCACGCACCTAGGCCCATCAGATCCATGTCACGCCACGTGTCAGGCCACGTCATCTTCCCACGTCAGCAACGCCGCGTCATTCTACCACGTCATCATTGACATGTCAGCATATACGACGTCAGAACTGCCAAGCCATCAGGTGCCACGTCAATACTGACACGTCAGCACCACCACTTCAGTTGTTGCCACGTCATCAGTTACCACATCAACACTGCTATGTCATCAACTGCCACATCAACATTCTACCACATCACCACTGCCATGTCAACATTCTGCCATGTCAGTATTTTTGCCACGTTACCAGTGTCATAAATTTTATTTTATTTTATTTTTCATTTTTCATTTTTTATTTTTTATTTTTTATTTTTCTGAAAACACCAATTCAGCCTAGTTTTTCGAGCTAATTCCGAATTTGTAGCCCGTTTTTGCATTTGGGATTTTTAAATGGCCCAAAATGAGGTAACTCACCCTATTTTAGTTATTTTTAATGGTGACAATTACTCCTTTTAGAGTCAATCTATGTGCAGCTTTCTAAAAGGTCGTAAGCTATGGTCCTATGTCACTGGCGATCATACAAAACTACTCAAGCCAAAAAAGAGACATCAGATGCCTATACAACATGTGTTGAAGACTGGGACAAGGACAATCACAAGATCATCACATGGTTACGCAACACATCTAATTCTTCTATTGGTATTTGGGAGTTATGAGACAACCAAGGAGATTTGGGACATGCTTGCCTCTTGCTACTCTGGTTCTGATGGGGCTCGCCAATTTCAATTAATGTTTTAACTTTCTACTCTCAAACAAGAATCAGGTCAGCGAATTAATGAATTCTTCTCTCAAATGAAATACTTACGGGATCAATTAACTCTTTCCAATCCATCATGGGAACATTATTCTGAAGCAAAGAAATTTGTCGAGTCTCGCAACTAGATTTGACTTTATCAGTTTCTGATGAGTCTTTATGATGATTTTGAACCAATACGTAGTCAGCTTCTCCATCGCTCACCTCTTCCATCATTTGATCAAGCTCTCAATGAATTTGTTCGAGAAGAGACACGCTTGCAGACTCGTCATTCCCAGAATCATCTTACTGTTTTAGCCACACCATTTTCTGTTCCTCAGTAGTGCCATCTCAATCAGCACCAGATTGCCCTGCCTTATTTTTTTGATAAAATGGACGCAACAATAACAATCAGTTTAGCTCCAATGCATGCAATAATGACAATCAATCTGGCTCTAATGGATGTAACAATAATAATCATTCTGGCTCTAAGTAATCTAACAACAAAAATGATCGTTCATCTCTAGACTGTATTTTCTATCGGCTTCCAGGACATAACATTGATTTTTGTCGTACTTGTGTTTGACTCTCCACTACAGCTGTAGCTAACTCTTCTGGCGAATCTACATCTACCTCATCTACTTGTTTTGCAACAAACCTTGAGGCAATTCTCAACTAGGTTTTATCTCGCTATCAAGGTCCATTTTCCACTTCTCTTACTACTACACCAAGTAAACATGGTTCTTGGTATTTTGACTGTACTTACTGCAATCACATAACACCTCATCTTACCTTACTCGCATCCCAAACTCCTACTTTTCACTCTCATGTCATACACACAACCGATGGTTCCACTATGGCTATTAGTCGCATAGGAACTATTTCTCAATCTCAGTTATCTATGCTCCATGTTTATCTTATTCCAAATCTTTCCCTGAATCTTTTATCTGTTGAACAATTAACTGAGTTGGGATTGACTATAACATTTTCTTTTAATGGTTGTGTTGTACAGGATCCTTGGACAGGATAAATCATTGGGACAGGTCATAAGATAGGATGACTATTTGAACTTTCTTCATTACTTCTGCCTACTACCATTATTTTTGCTGCCTCTATATAGTCCACCTCTCCTACACTTGAGTTATTGCATTCTCATTTGGGTCATGCATCATTATCTCGTGTCAAAACCTTTACATCTACGGGTTGGTTAGGGCAGGTTAATTGAGTCTTTTGATTGTATTTCATGTTAGTTTGGAAAACAACCTGCCTTACCATCTAATAAAATTAAGTTTTTTGCTTCTACTCCATTTGATCTTATTCATTCTGATGTTTGGGGGCCTTCGGCTATATCTTCTATTGTAGGATCACGATATTTTGTTATTTTTGTTGATGATTTTTCACGATTCACATGGATTTTTTTAATGAAAAATCGCTCTAAATTATTTAAAATATTTCGTGATTTTACTCAAATGATTGCCACTCAGTTTTTCAAACCAATCAAAATGTTTCGGTCTGATAATGCTCAAGAGTACTAACAAAATGAATTTCAAAAAATTCTTCAACATTACAGTACAAATTTTCACATTTCTTGTACTGGCACGTTTCAATAAAATAGTAGGACTGAACGTAAACTTTGACATATTTTAGATTTAACTTGTCCACTCACTTTTTCTGTTTCTGTGCCTTCATCTTTTTGGGGTAAAGTATCTCTTACTGCTGTTTATACCATGAATCGTGTTCGTACAGCACTTTTACAAAATCAAACATCATATGAACGTCTCTATGGAAAACTTCTCGACTATAGTCATCTTAGAGTCTTTGGGTGTGCCTTTTTTGTTCTTCTTCAACCTCACGAGCGAAATAAGTTACAACCACGTTCTCGACTTTATTGTTTTCTTGGTTATGGAATTAACAAAAGGGGTGTAGATGTTATGATCCTGTTGATAAACACCTCAGAATTTCTCGTCATGTCATTTTTTGGGAGCATAAACTCTTTCATACATTATCTAAGTTTAGTAGTGTTCCTGATCAGTCTTTTCCTCTTCCTCCATTAGACACCTCTGCAGATCTCTTTCCTAATTCTACAAAATCATTTGATATAGTCAACCTTCTATTAGCTGTAGCTGAGTCCCACTCATCTGCTCAGTCTGAGGTTCCTGATAGTGCGCCTACCACATATCTTCTCCCCCATTCAACTCGGGTAAGAAATCTACCTACACATCTTAGTGATTTTCATTGTTATCATGCTTTTGCTACCTTACATGAACCTTAAAATTTTCGTGAGGCGTCCTCTAACCCCATATGGCAGCACACAATGGAAGAAGAGTTAGATGCACTATCCAAAACTCATACATGGGATCTGATTGATCTGCCTCCTAGAAAGTATGTTGTAGGATGCAAATGGGTTTACAAGATCAAGACTCATTCAGATGGGTCTATTGAGCGCTACAAAACTCTACTTGTTGCTAGAGGGTTCACACAGGAATATGGCATTGACTTTGAAGAAACATTTGTTCCTGTTGCACGTCTTTCCTATCTTCGAACTCTTATAACTTCTTGTCATTGGGGACTTTTTCAGATGGATGTTAAGAATGCTTTTCTCAATGGTGATTTACTAAAGGAAATGTACATGCAGCCTCCTCTAGGTTATCTATATCCTTTTAATAAGGTGTGCAAACTTATAAGTGCTTTGCATGGTCTCAAATAGGCATCGCGAGTTTGGTTTGCCAAATTCAGTCAGACTATCTCTCGACTTGGCTACTCTGCTAGTCCTTATGATTGCTTTATTTATTCGATGCACCAATCGAGGTATCATTCTCCTTTTACTTTATTTTGATGATATGATCATTATTGGATATGATTTGACGGGAATTCAGGAGCTCACACAGTTTCTTAATCTTCAGTTCGAGATGAAGGATCTTGGACCCCTCAGTTATTTTTTTAGTCTTGAGATAACTACATCTATAGATGGTTACTATCTTACTCAGACTAAGTACATATCCGATCTTCTCTCCAAATCGGATCTAACTGACAGCAAGATTGTTGATACCCTCTTGAGTACAACACAGGACTTAATCTACATGATGTAGAATCTTTTCGAGATGGTATTTTATATCACCAATTGGTACGTAGTCTGGTTTATCTCACTATCACTCGCCCCGACATCTCTCATGCCGTCCATATAGTTAGTTAGTTCATGACTGCCCCTCAGTCAACTTATTTTGCTGTCGTTCTTCGCATCCTTCGTTATCTTAAAGGCATTATGTTTCATGGAATGCATTTTTCTTCCCAATTATCGCTTATTCTTCGTGTAACGGCCTGAATTCCAAGAACCTAAAGCGTTAGCGAGTAACCCGAAGACATGACCCGATAACAAGTCCAAAATACGGAAACAAAAACAAAAGAAGTGGTCAATAGAGGTAAATGACACTCTAGGACTACAAAAATCAAATAAGAGGTCACATGACTCATCTCAAAGGCAAAAGTATAACTTCAAGACAAAATGGGCTAAATCCGTCAATTAAGGGTAAAATGGTCATTTTGCAAATAAAAAGAGAAGTCCAACTCTAAACAAGTCAAATGAGGTCCATGCAATCTAATCTAATCATTTTACAACATTACAAGAGGTTTCCTGACTCAAAATCCTAAAAGATAGGCTCAAGAATGACCCTATTTGGATTAGAAATGAAGGAGATGTGGCATCTGAAATTGGCGTGACAAAGTTGTTCAAGAAAAACTGAAAGGGGAATGCATCAGGAAGGATTAGTAGGCCGATAGGAAGGATCGACCGACTAAAACTCAATGTTCAGCAGGCCGAACCCTAATTCTAATGTCGCCGAAACGGCATATGAAGAAGTAAACTCACTGGAATTGTCTATGAAAGGCTATCAGCCGACTGACAGAAGTTGTCAGCCGACCGATGCACCAAAAAATAGCAAAAATAGGTTTTGCTACAGACATGGAAATTTGGCTCGGTCCAATTCTAATCAACATAGAGGAACCAAGGTAATTTGGCTCGGTTCAATTCTAATCAACATAGAGGAACATGCATCTCCATCAGTGCATAATCAACATATAGCCACATATCCTAAATATGTCTCTAAGGCATGCTTAAAAATAATAAGGTAATCTCATAGAAAACATACCCTATAACATAAACGAGTTTAACCGAGATTCCTTAAGTATTACTGTAACCCAGAGGAACCAAGTTCATACCTCTTCAAAGGACATCCCCGTTTGAAGTGTCCCATCTGACCACACCTATGACATCTCTTTGCCCCAACCACTGGTGAAAACTGAGAAATTAGGTAATTTACCTTGTAGTGCCCAAACTGCTGACATTGAAAGTAAACTACGTTGGTCCGCAAGGACCCTACATACCCAGGTGGTGCTAAAGACGTCAAGCTCTCCTTCCTACGATGCATATATTGTTAATTCTCTTTTCTCCTTCCTTTCATCCTTCATTGTCTATCTAATCCTTTTGATCGTCAAATCCTCCGTTTCAATCAATAGTGCCCTCTCAACCACCACTGAGTAAGTAGGCAAATCTAAAGCCACAATCCTTCTCCTTATGCCAAATCTGAGACCATCCACAAACTTATTGGTGGGTGTCGTGGACTAACTGTTGCAATACTAATATGTGTGATTGATTGAATCAACAAGCTTGGATGACTAATTAAGTATACGTTGTTTAGACAACCTAATGAATAGCACAATATCTCAAACTAAGCCATTATTCCTTTCTTTAAGCTCACAATCAAAACACATTCATAAGCATGGAACATCAAATAACAAGCATGGATTGTCCTCCCATATAAGAAAGTAAAACAACTACACTACAACTAAACTAGAGATATGAAAATTAAACTAATTAAACTAAGGTAGAGGCACAATCCATCAAGAAATGAGTATGAACCATCAAACAAACCACAAGAGTATTCCATTAAATCACCTTGCCTTGACAATTTCTAGATTCATAGCATCAACACACATAGACATGCATCCATAACATAAAACCTAGAGATAAGCATATGAATATCTATTCTAGTATATATAGACATATGAGTAGAATGAAATGATCAATTATAAATATTAAACAACACAAATTATTGTAGAAACAAGATTCATATATAAATCAAATGTCAAGACAAGAATTACAACACAAATCCCCTCAAAATACAAAACATCAAAATCTAGAAGGCATGCTTAGGGCTAACTCTAGCCCCAAGAAGATGTTTAGCCACTCATTGATGCAGTCATCCACCCCTCAAGGGCCATCTCCATGGTAGGAATGATCTTCTTCTTGATGGAAACCTTAGATGAATGAAAGAACTCCCAAATAGTGTGTATCTCTTTCTAATCTTTAGACCTCTCCCCAAGATTGTGTATATTTCTAAGATTATATCTATGTAAAATGGCTCAAAATCCTTATATAGGTAGCTCAAGTGTCATACCCAATGGTCAGGCCTGGTGCACTAGGGCCCCTTCAATGATTGCACCACGAGCCATCTTTTAATGAGCTAGACTCTGTTTTTTTTTCGAACTTGAGGGGGTTCGATCGATCAAATTCTGATGAGATCGATCAAACCATGGCAGCGCCTTTTTGGAATAAGACAAATCTGAGATATTTTTGGGATATTTTGGGAAAAAGACAAAAGTGGTAGGTGGGGATAAGATCAAAGAAGTTCGATCGATCAGAGAATTGTTGGATCGATCGAAGAAGGTATTTTGGTGAGGAAAATGACAAAAGGCTCGATCTATCTTGAAATGCACTACAAGAAATTAGGCTATTAGGGACAGTCTTTTAGTGACGCACTAAAACCCATCCCTAAAGATCTTATTATTAGGGACGGGCAAATTTTATCGTCCCTAATACTAGGCTTTTAGGGATAGTGAACTTGACATGTCACCAAAACCCTAAAAACTGTCCCTAAAAAGGTTTTTTTTGGCACAGTTATTGAGGACCGTCCCCAATGCCCCCGGGAAAAAAAAGCGCCAAACTTTAGAGCTTCATTTTTCTTTTGTTTGGCGCAAAAATGAAATAATATAAACTATTTTATTTTACAACATAGGGAAGCCCATCACACTACGTCGTTTTTTATCTAAAAAAGTTAGTATCATTTGCAAACCTCTTCCACCGTCATAACTCACAAAGCTCTTCAGTTCTTCACCTTCTGTTCTTCTCTCAATGTCGCCCTGCTCTACGACTTAATAGCAACCTTTAGAAGGTTTCTTCCGTTTCCAGCTAAGCCAACCTCCTAATATCGGTAGAGCCAAGCAAAAGTTCATTTGTACTTTTCCTATTTGCCATTTTTCATGATCCTCACCCTAGTTTTTTCTAGGGTTTCGAAATTGCAAAAGGGGGTAAACTACAAATCTGGAAAAGGCTTGTCGTCTGAGTTTGAATCGCTGTGGGAAATCATACAGGTTGTTTGAGCTTTCTATCTTTTTGGTTCAAAAGACTCATCTGCTTCTTCATCTTCTGGGATTTTCGGCTCTATCTTTGCACCTTCGTCGCAAGTATTGCCTTTTTTTAACAATCTGTTGATTATTATTCCTCCTGAATTTTGGAATTTAAAAAAAAAATAAATTATGTTGTTTATCAGATTTAGGGTTGTCATTTCTGATTATTCAATGGAGATGTTGTGTTTCTGTTGATAGATTTTAATGGGAGAGTAGGCTTCGTTTGGGATATAGTTTTTAGTGGTAAAGTGTTAGATGTGCAAAGAGAAATGGTTTCTCTTCTGTGTCGTTTGGGATGCCTTGAACCCCCTTCGGGGTTACGTGTCTCTTCCGCAGGTCACCTTTGGCCCAAAGAGGTCCTTTTTCTTCTTTCTTTTGCTTCCTATTATATATTCTCTTTTGTTTGGTTGCTTAGAAATGGTAGGAAAATAAAATTCAGATTTTGGGTTTTTATGTTCTGGGCATAATTTAGGTTGGTATTTAGCTCTGTTGAAGCGAGAAATTTTGTTGATAACCGATAAAATGTGCAAAAAAACCAAGTTTGCGTAGAAATTGTATGGCTTGGTAATTCTGAGCAATCTGCTTGGTTGCTCAGGAAATGTGGGAATTGAGAGTGAAAGTTGAGATTTTGGGTTTTAATATATGGGGTATAATTCAAGTACATGGCTTATAATTCAAGTATATTGCATAATATTCTGTTTATATTTATCATACGGTTCAAAGAAACAAATGGTGGAATTCAAGTCTTTGGATATTTGCGTGCATAGTCTCGCAATATTTTTGTATTATCTAAAATATTGGATTATTTGGGAATACAAGTTTGGTTAGTTTAGTTAGACTCAGGGTTCTCAGAATTTCCTAGTTTTATTCAAATAAATAATGTAGAAACAGCTAACTAGTCTGTGGAATTTGAGGTTTTCATGAAATTATTGGAAGATGTACTTGTATTTTTGGATTAGAAATGTTGGTTTCAGTGCTGATTTTGGCTCACGTGTGAAAATTAGGATTTTGGCTTTTATATATATATTTATTTATTTTAGTGAAGAAACATACTTGCGATTGAAATTTGAAAATATGTTTTTCCTAAAAATCAACTTGTCATGTAAATTCTGGACTTATTGAAACTGCTTTTAGATTAAAAAATAAAATTTATTGACAAACAAGTGATACTGTATGGAAGAATTCATTGGAAACTAAACTTTTCCCTCAGTAGTTGTTTGTTACATTGCTTTTGATCAATTAACACATATAACATGCAGATGGATGTTGCCCAATTCAGAAAACTCAGTTTTAGCCTCGACTACAAATGATATGCGCCATGATAAGTACACCCCCATTGATTCTAGAAAGTTGAAGTTCGCAGCTATACGGCTATCTCAAAGTAAGTTTCAGTCTTCTCTTTCGATGCTTCTCATTTGGTAGATCAAAATTTCTTTTCTTCAAGGATATTTGATCACTGTTAATAATAATAATGATAATAATAAAACCATTTTTAACTATGTATATTTCTGTATAAACTTGAATCTGTTCAGAACCCAACAAACTTGATGGCTAGATGAGTCTTGAGTTGACAATATTAGCTTCTCATGCTAAGTTCAACTCAATCCAATTATGATCTGACCCAAAATTGACAAATCCTCGCCATTACTGTAATACCCCTAATTTTCAAAAGGATAGTCTCGGTATTTTGTTTAATTGTTTTCTGTTCATTAATTGTTTTATTTACGTTTTAATTGACTTTTTAATTAGTCTTGGTATTTCATTAATTGTTTAATTGCATTTTTTTTTAAATTTATTTAATTGGTTATTTATTTGAGTGTTTGGTTGCAATGATTATGTGATTGTTTAATGGTTATTTAAACTGGATTTTTGTTTTACTTTAATTGATTAATTGGTTAATTATTTTTTTTTAGTTTATTAATTGTTTTGATTTCATTGGTTTGTTTGTAGTTAATTATTTAATTGCTTTAGTTGAGTTGGTTTAATTAAATTTATTTAGTTTTAATGTGACTATATGGTTGGTTGCATATATAGTATACACATAAGTAACCGACATAGTTTTAACCTAGTTTTCTTTATGGGCTGAGTAGGTTATGTTTAGGGTTTAATTAAAACTAAGGTCAGTGGCCTATAAATATTCAAGTAATATTCTGACTAGGGTTTTAGAAAACTATTATGATATAGTAAGGGCTGAGGGACTTGGAGAAGGCTGGGAAGGAGAATAGAGAGCAAACAAAGAGAGTTTCGACGGCAAATTGAGGCGAACGTCGGCGTAAGGCAAGTTCTACCCTTACTCTCTCCCTTAGGTTTTGTGTTCTTTACATTCTTAAATAGTTCTAGGACTAACTAAATCAACTAAACACATGCTCTGTTCGTGCTTAAACTGAAACTTATCAATATGTGTTGTATGCTTAAAAATTCGGTTAAAACGTGATTTTTAATTGCATAATTCTTTGTTTAAATCGATGTTAATGATGTATTAAGGGCTTAAACACAAACTAGGAACATACTGGGGTTTGGTTTCAACTTCTGGGAACCATAATGGTGAGTTACAGAAGGTGCAGAGTATGTCGGAGGAAGAAAAGATGAGGCAGAGAGGGAGAGAGCCGGCTCTCCCTTGGAGAGAGCCGGCTCCTTTATGATGGGAGGCGGCTCCCAAGGTGTGGGAGCCGGCTCCAAGGGCAAAAGAGCCGGATCCACAATTTTGGAGCAGGCTCTTTGCTCCATTTTTCTTTTATTTTCATTTTCTGTACGTTTTTGCATGCAGTGTATGAATTTTGGAGATTTCAGATGAGGTTTAGGTTTGTATGTGGGAAGTTTTTATAAAGCCTACAGTTGTATTAAGGCTCGAAGAGTCATGTTAAGAAACTAATTACTTATGGTAGCTTGGACAGTATATGGTTTAGACAAATTAATACACAGATTGTTAGAGTTGGAAGATTTAAATTGTTTAATCCTTTTGTTAACAAATTTTCCTGTGACGGATAATATAATTGAGGCTTGTATCACAATACACTATGATCAGGTATTTCAATTATGCTATCTGGGGATGGGTTGATGTTTAATGGAACTATGGTTTAACTTTAACAATTTATTTAATTAAGGAGCAATATACAGTTTATCATGCTTATTATAGATTAGTGGATGATTATATGATTATTGTTAGTAGCCACTGTTGGGGGAATGGACTTTTTTGATGTTTACTCTAAATGTCTGTAATATCAACTGTTAAGTGTTGAATGATAATTTGAAATAATTTTATCATTATACCTAATTGAATGAAACAACCTAAACTGAGTAGGTTTGTGTATATACAGTGACTATGGTTCTTGATGCTTACATTATGCCTGTTAGTATCAGTGTTGGATATAAAAACTGAATCTGTTTATGTATATAGCTGATTCTGTTTATTGATGCTTACACTATGCTTGTTAGTATCAGTAATGGGAATATGGATTTAGCTGATGTTTGCTTTAATTGTTGATATTATCAACTGCTGGATGATTGGATAGTATACACCGGTATGGGACGGTGGTATTAGGGACGGTTGGTTTCAAAATACAAAAACCTACCTAGTCTGGATTAAGAATTGGATTAACTAAAAGTTAAGTCCTATTGATTATAGTGTCATGGCAACAACTAGTTGAGCGGCACTACTAGGATTTAGGATGGATTTTAAATATATTGTTATGGTACCTCGAAATGAACTTGAGTCTCAGGATCGACGGTTAGGGAGTGTATATGCATTGGGATGCATAGCTGGATACGATGGTTAGAGGTGTACCCTGTTTAGGTATAGGTACATATGCCCACTTCGTGTGCGTTTTAGCGTGTTACCTCTATTCAGGTTGAGACCGGCCTATAGTCCAGCGAGAGTCCTTTAGTGTGACTATATATATATTTACGGACTATTAGCTATTGTTGAATTGTTTAGGATGTACATGCGTATCGGGCCTCTGTTTGGATTGGAATAGTATAGAACTTGCGCGTGGGCCTGACCCACTTCTATTTTTCAGGTACACGACAGTTCCAGGCTTAGACGTGTTCGTGCTGAGCAGAGGTCTCTATTCACTCTTCCGACAATGTAGGATTCTCTCCATAGCTTTATTTCTGGATGTTTATTACTGTTGTTTTATCTTCCGTTTGGATGTTTAATAGGGGTCCACTAGAGATGGATTCCCGAGTTGTAAACTGAAGGAGTTTTGGAGTTTGGGTTATCAGATTCTAAGTATTTAATTATAAAGGATTTTACTTTTAGTTTCTTCCAGCTTAAACTTTATTTTTTTCTTAAATTCATTTTTGTCATCTGTGTTCGTATTACATATTAATTGTTTGATATTCCCTCGGGTTTGGGCCTGGGCCTTATCAACCCGTGTCTCGGATCCGAGGGGTATCACAGTTGGTATCAGAGCACTCCAGGTTCAAGTGTCTCTAGGATGTTTTCATATTAAGTCTTCCGCGTAGCATTCTTTTGAATAGAGCTTAAGTTAGGATTCATTGTATTCCTTATAGTTCGTATAGAAATGGTACTGATGTCTGTCATTTCGTGTTAACAGATGGTTAACGCTAGAAATGGACAGAACATGCAAGGAACTAGGAAGGAAAGGAGAGCGGCACGTAGGCAACAATATCTCCTACGGCGTCAGCAAATGGAGGACGAGCAGAAAAGGCTTGGGTTTCAAGATGACATGGATCAGTTTCAGGAGGAATAGGAGATTGTTCAACAGACTCTGGACCAGGTCAGAGATCCAGAGATTCCTCCTCACCTCAATGACCTCGTTGCTTAGGCTATAGAGGCTGGGGTAACAGTTGCACTTCGGAATCAACCACCGGTTCAGCAGGCACCTATACTAGCACCGGTTGTTCAGACTAATACTTGGGAGACGGCTAAGAGTTCTTTCACAAAGGGGAGTCTACTTGTGTTCTCAGGCTCCACCGATGCGAAAGCAGCTCACCAGTGGAAACGGGACATTGAGCGTCATCTTCGCTTGGTTCAGTGCACGGAGGTTCAGAAACAGATGCTTGGTACCTTCAAGCCGGTTGGGGATGCACTACAGTGGTGAGAGTCAGTTACCACTGCAGAGGAGAGGATGACATTGAGTTATGATCAGTTCAGTACTCGCTTTGATGAGAAATATTTTCCCTATGCAGTCAGGGCAGCTATGAAGACCGAGTTTCTTAATCTGCAACAGTGAAACATGACAGTGGCAGAGTATGAGCAGCAGTTCACATGCTTATCTCTGTTTGCACAGGAGGAGGTGAATACGAAAGAGAAGAAGCGCAACAGTTTTGTGAAGGGACTGATGTGGTCGATCAAGAGAGCTATTATAGGCAATCCAGCCTATACTACATATGCTCAGGTGGTGGACGCTGCTTTGCAGCAGTATCAGTTGACTATGGACATCAGACAGGCCAAGGGTGAGAAACGGGGTGATAAAGACTCTGCTAATCAGTCAGCTGAGAGGGAAAATGGAAATAGTCATCGACAAAATGACAAGGGCAAGTTCCAAAGACAACAGCCTTGGAAGGAACACAAGGGTGGTACAGATGATAACAAGGATGTGGCACCTATTCAGGGGCAGCAGAATAGGGGACCACAGACAGGATAAGGTCAGCCACAGGCTAACAGACAGAGGAGGCCATTTGGTACTTTCCAGGGTTGTTGCTACACTTGTGGAGAGTATGGTTATACCTCCAGGCAGTGTCCTAAAGCAGGACAGGGATAGGGGCAGCATGTGCAGTAGGGGCAGAGGGCGCCAGTACCTTTACCCGCTCCACAGGTACCCCGGATTCAGCGACAGACTTATCCGGCTTTACCTGCACCGCCGCAGCCTCAGGGACAGGCACCGCAGCACTTGCACATGGCAGGGTGTACAACCCCATGCCACAGGATATGTAGGCACCTCAGGCTATTGAGGGTAAGTTTCCTATTCATGATTACTAGGACGTCTTTTGTGGAGTGCCACACACTCGTTATATTTTGGTCTTTATTTTTTATTTTTATTTTTTTTATCTGGGATGAGGACGAGGGTATTAGTATATTGAAGTTGGGGAATTTGAGTTGTAGCCGGATGTAACTTATTTAGAGCCACCATGTCGTATTGTCGACCGACGAGATCAGATTATTCGTAATAAGGTTATTCCTTTGGTTCGTGTTCAGTGGAGTCATCACAATGAGGCAGAGTCTAATTGGGAACTGGAGGATGTCATTCGCTCGCAGTTTCTTAAAATTTTGGATGAAGGTAAGAGCGAATTTCGAGGACGGAATTCCTTTTGTTAGGGGGGAAGAATGTAATACCCCTAGTTTTCAAAAGGATAGTCTCAGTATTTTGTTTAATTGTTTTCTGTTCATTAATTGCTTTATTTATGTTTTAATTGACTTTTTAATTAGTCCTGGTATTTCATTAATTGTTTAATTGCATTTTTTTTAATTTATTTAATTGGTTATTTATTTGCGTGTTTGGTTGCATTGATTATGTGATTGTTTAATGGTTATTTTAACTGGATTTTTGTTTTACTTTAATTGATTAATTGGTTAATTATTTTCTTTTAGTTGATTAATTGTTTTGATTTCATTGGTTTGTTTGTAGTTAATTATTTAATTGCTTTAGTTGAGTTGGTTTAATTAAATTTATTTAGTTTTAATGTGACTATATGGTTGGTTGCATATATAGTATACACATAAGTAACCGACATAGTTTTAACCTAGTTTTCTTTATGGGCTGAGTAGGTTATGTTTAGGGTTTAATTAAACCTAAGGTTAGTGGCCTATAAATATTCAAGTAATATTCTGACTAGGGTTTTAGAAAACTATTACGATATAGTAATGGTTGAGGGACTTGGAGAAGGCTGGGAAGGAGAATAGAGAGCAAACAAAGAGAGTTTCGACGGGAAATTGAGGCGAACGTCGGCGTAAGGCAAGTTCTATCCTTACTCTGTCCCTTAGGTTTCGTGTTTTTTACATTCTTAAATAGTTCTAGGACTAACTAAATCAACTAAACACATGCTCTGTTCATGCTTAAACTGAAACTTATCAGTATGTGTTGTATGCTTAAAAATTCTGTTAAAACGTGATTTTTAATTGCATAATTCTTTGTTTAAATCCATGTTAATGATGTATTAAGGGCTTAAACATAGACTAGGAACATACTGGGGTTTGGTTTAAACTTCTGGGAACCATAACGGTGAGTTACAGAAGGTACAGAGTACGTCGGAGGAAGCCGGCTCCTTTATGAAGGGAGGTGGCTCCCAAGGTGTGGGAGCCGGCTCCAAGGGCAAAAGAGCCGGCTCCACAATTTTGGAGCAGGCTCTTTACTCCATTTTTCTTTTATTTTCATTTTCTGTACGTTTTTGCATGCAGTGTATGAATTTTGGAGATTTCAGATGAGGTTTAGGTTTGAATGTTGGAAGTTTTTATAAAGCCTATAGTTGTATTAAGGCTCGAAGAGTCATGTTAAGAAACTAACTACTTATGGTAGCTTGGACAGTATATGGTTTAGACAAATTAATACACAGATTGTTAGAGCTGGAAGATTTAAATTGTTTAATCCTTTTGTTAACAAATTTTCCTGTGACGGATAATATAATTGAGGCTTGTATCACAATACACTATGATCAGGTATTTCAATTATGCTATCTGGGGATGGGTTGATGTTTAATGGAACTATGGTTTAACTTTAACAATTTATTTAATTAAGGAGCAATATGAACTAAGTATGTTTATGTATACAGTTTATCATGCTTATTATAGATTAGTGGATGATTATATGATTATTGTTAGTAGCCACTGTTGGGGGAATGTACTTTGTTGATGTTTACTCTAAATGTCTGTAATATCAACTGTTAAGTGTTGAATGATAATTTGAAATAATTTTATCATTATACCTAATTGAATGAAACAACCTAAACTGAGTAGGTTTGTGTATATACAGTGACTATGGTTCTTAATGCTTACATTATACCTGTTAGTATCAGTGTTGGATATAAAAACTGAATCTGTTTATGTATATAGCTGATTCTGTTTATTGATGCTTACACTATACTTGTTAGTATCAGTAATGGGAATATGGATTTAGCTGATGTTTGCTTTAATTGTTGATATTATCAACTGCTGGATGATTGGATAGTATACACCGGTATGGGACGGTGGTATACTAGGGACGGTTTGGTTTCAAAATACCAAAACCTACCTACTCTGGATTAAGAATTGGATTAACTAAAAGTTAAGTCCTATTGATTATAGTGTCATGGCAACAACTAGTTGAGCGGCACTACTAGGATTCAGGATGGATTTTAAATATATTGTTATGGTACCTCGAAACGAGCTTGAGTCTCAGGATCGACGGTTAGGGAGCGTATATGCATTGGGATGCATAGCTGGATACGATGGTTAGAGGTGCACCTTATTTAGGTATAGGTACATATGCCCACTTCGTGTGCGTTTTAGCATGTTACCTCTATTCAGGTTGAGACCGGCCTGTAGTCCAGTGAGAGTCCTTTAGTGTGACTGTATATATATTTACGGACTATTAGCTATTGTTGAATTATTGAGGATGTACATGCGTATCGGGCCTCTGTTTGGATTGTAGTAGTATAGAACTTGCGCGTGGGCCTGACCCACTTCTATTTTTCAGATACACGAAAGTTCCAAATTTAGACGTGTTCGTGCTGAGCAGAGGTCTCTATTCACTCTTCCGACAACGTAGGATTCTCTCCATAGCTTTATTTCTGGATGTTTATTATAGTTGTTTTATCTTCCGTTTGGATGTTTAATAGCGGTCCACTAGAGATGGATTCCCGAGTTGTAAACTGAAGGAGTTTTGGAGTTTGGGTTATCAGATTCTAAGTATTTAATTATAAAGGATTTTACTTTTAGTTTCTTCCAGCTTAAACTTTAATTTTTTCTTAAATTCATTTTTGTCATCTGTGTTCGTATTACATATTAATTGTTTGATATTCCCTCGGGTTTGGGCCTGGGCCTGATCAACCCGTGTCTCGGATCCGAGTGGTATCACAGTTGGTATCAGAGCACTCCAGGTTCAAGTGTCTCTAGTATGTTTTCGTATTAAGTCTTCCGCGTAGCGTTCTTTTGAATAGAGCTTAAGTTAGGATTCATTGTATTCCTTATAGTTCGTATAGAAATGGTACTGATGTCTGTCTTTTCGTGTTAACAGATGGTTAACGCTAGAAATGGACAGAACATGCAAGGAACTAGGAAGGAAAGGAGAGCGGCACATAGGCAACAATATCTCCTACGGCGTCAGCAAATGGAGGGTGAGTAGAAAAGGCTTGGGTTTCAAAATGACATGGATCAGTTTCAGGAGGAACAGAAAAATGTTCAACAGACTCTGGACCAAGTCAGAGATCCAGAGATTCCTCCTTACCTCAATGACCTCGTTGCTCGGGCTATAGAGGTTGGGGTAACAGCTGCACTTCGGAATCAACCACCGGTTCAGCAGGCACCTATACCAACACCGGTTGTTCAGACTAATACTTGGGAGACGGCTAAGAGTTCTTTCTCAAAGGGGAGTCCACCTGTGTTCTCAGGCTCCACCGATGCGAAAGCTGTTCACCAGTGGAAACGGGACATTGAGCGTCATCTTCGCTTGGTTCAGTGCACGGAGGTTCAGAAGCAGATGCTTGCTACCTTCAAGCTGGTTGGGGATGCACTACAGTGGTGGGAGTCAGTTATCACTGTAGAGGAGAGGATGACATTGAGTTATGATCAGTTCAGTACTCGCTTTGATGAGAAATATTTTCCCTATGCAGTCAGGGCAGCTATGAAGACCGAGTTTCTTATTCTGCAACAGGGAAACATGACAGTGGCAGAGTATGAGCAGCAGTTCACTTGCTTATCTTTGTTTGCATAGGAGGAGGTGAATACGGAAGAGAAGAAGCGCAACAGTTTTGTGAAGGGACTGATGTGGTAGATCAAGAGAGCTATTATAGGCAATCCAGCCTATACTACATATGCTCAGGTGGTGGACGCTACTTTGCAGCAGTATCAGTTGACTATGGACATCAGACAGGCCAAGGGTGAGAAACGGGGTGATAAAGACTCTGCTAATCAGTCAGCTGAGAGGGAAAATGGAAATAGTTATCGACAGAATGACAAGGGCAAGTTCCAAGGACAACAGCCTTGGAAGAAACACAAGGGTGGTACAGATGATAACAAGGATGTGGCACCTATTCAGGGGCAGCCGAATAGGGGACCGCAGACAGGACAAGGTCAGCCACAGGCTAACAGACAGAGGAGGCCATTTGGTACTTTCCAGGGTAGTTGCTACACTTGTGGAGAGTATGGTTATATCTCCAGGCAGTGTCCTAAAGCAGGACAGGAACAGGGGCCGCATGTGCAGCAGGGGCAGAGGGCGCCAGTACCTTTACTCGCTCCACAGGTACCCCGGATTCAAGGACAGAGTTATCCGACTTTACCGGCACCGCCGCAGCCTCAGGGACAGGCACCGCAGCAGTTGCACTATGGCAGGGTGTACAACCCCATGCCACAGGATATGTAGGCAGCTCAGGCTATTGAGGGTAAGTTTCCTATTCATGATTACTAGGACGTCTTTTGTGGAGTGCCACACACTCGTTATATTTCGGTCTTTATTTTTTATTTTTTTATTTTTTTATCTGGGATGAGGACGAGGGTATTAGTATATCGAAGTTGGGGAATTTGAGTTGCAGCCGGATGCAACTTATTTAGAGCCACCGTGTCGTATTGTCGACCGACGAGATCAGATTCTTCGTAATAAGGTTATTCCTTTGGTTCGTGTTCAGTGGAGTTATCACAATGAGGCTGAGTCTACTTGGGAACGGGAGGATGTCATTCGCTCGCAATTTCCTGAAATTTTGGAAGAAGGTAAAAGCGAATTCCGAGGACGGAATTCCTTTTGTCGGGGGGGGAAGAATGTAATTCCCCTAATTTTCAAAAGGATAGTCTCGGTATTTTGTTTAATTGTTTTCTGTTCATTAATTGTTTTATTTAAGTTTTAATTGACTTTTTAATTAGTCCTGGTATTTCATTAATTGTTTAATTGCATTTTTTTTAATTTATTTAATTGGTTATTTATTTGTGTGTTTGGTTGCATAGATTATGTGATTGTTTAATGGTTATTTAAACTGGATTTTTGTTTTACTTTAATTGATTAATTGGTTAATTATTTTCTTTTAGTTGATTAATTGTTTTGATTTCATTGGTTTGTTTGTAGTTAATTATTTAATTGCTTTAGTTGAGTTATTTTAATTAAATTTATTTAGTTTTAATGTGACTATATGGTTCGTTGCATATATAGTATACACATAAGTAACCGACATAGTTTTAACCTAGTTTTCTTTATGGGCTGAGTAGGTTATGTTTAGGGTTTAATTGAACCTAAGGTTAGTGGCCTATAAATATTCAAGTAATATTCTAACTAGGGTTTCAGAAAACTGTTACGATATAGTAAGGGCTGAGGGACTTGGAGAAGGCTGGGAAGGAGAATAGAGAGCAAACAAAGAAAGTTTCGACGGCAAATTGAGGCGAACGTCGGCGTAAGGCAAGTTCTATCCTTACTCTCTCCCTTAGGTTTCGTGTTCTTTACATTCTTAAACAGTTCTAGGACTAACTAAATCAACTAAACACATGCTCTGTTCGTGCTTAAACTGAAACTTATCAGTATGTGTTGTATGCTTAAAAATTATGTTAAAACGTGATTTTTAATTGCATAATTCTTTGTTTAAATCCATGTTAATGATGTATTAAGGGCTTAAACACAGACTAGGAACATACTGGGGTTTGGTTTAAACTTCTGGGAACCATAACGGTGAGTTACAGAAGGTGCAGAGTACGTCGGAGGAAGAAAAGATGAGGCAGAGAGGGAGAGAGCCGGCTCTCCCTTGGAGAGAGCCGGCTCCTTTATGATAGGAGGTGGCTCCTAAGGTGTGGGAGCCGGCTCCAAGGGCAAAAGAGCCGGCTCCACAATTTTAGAGCAGGCTCTTTGCTCCATTTTTCTTTTATTTTCATTTTCTGTACGTTTTTGCATGCAGTGTATGAATTTTGGAGATTTCAGATGAGGTTTAGGTTTGTATGTGGGAAGTTTTTATAAAGCCTATAGTTGTATTAAGGCTCGAAGAGTCATGTTAAGAAACTAATTACTTATGGTAGCTTGGACAGTATATGGTTTAGACAAATGAATACACAGATTGTTAGAGTTGGAAGATTTAAATTGTTTAATCCTTTTCTTAACAAATTTTCCTGTGACGGATAATATAATTGAGGCTTGTATCACAATACACTATGATCAGGTATTTCAATTATGCTATCTGGGGATGGGTTGATGTTTAATGGAACTATGGTTTAACTTTAACAATTTATTTAATTAAGGAGCAATATGAACTAAGTATGTTTATGTATACAGTTTATCATGCTTATTATAGATTAGTGGATGATTATATGATTATTGTTAGTAGCCACTGTTGGGGGAATGGACTTTGTTGTTGTTTACTCTAAATGTCTGTAATATCAACTGTTAAGTGTTGAATGATAATTTGAAATAATTTTATCATTATACCTAATTGAATGAAACAACCTAAACTGAGTAGGTTTGTGTATATACAGTGACTATGTTTCTTGATGCTTACATTATGCCTGTTAGTATCAGTGTTGGATATAAAAACTGAATCTGTTTATGTATATAGCTGATTCTGTTTATTGATGTTTACACTATGCTTGTTAGTATCAGTAATGGGAATATGGATTTAGCTGATGTTTGCTTTAATTGTTGATATTATCAACTGCTGGATGATTGGATAGTATACACCGATATAGGACGGTGGTATACTAGGGACGGTTTGGTTTCAAAATATCAAAACCTACCTACTCTGGATTAAGAATTGGATTAACTAAAAGTTAAGTCCTATTGATTATAGTGTCATGGCAACAACTAGTTGAGCGGCACTACTAGGATTCAGGATGGATTTTAAATATATTGTTATGGTACCTCGAAATGAGCTTGAGTCTCAGGATCGACGGTAAGGGAACGTATATGCATTGGGATGCATAGCTGGATACGATGGTTAGAGGTGTACCCTGTTTAGGTATAGGTACATATGCCCACTTCGTGTGCGTTTTAGCATGTTACCTCTATTCAGGTTGAGACCGGCCTGTAGTCCAGTGAGAGTCCTTTAGTGTGACTATATATATATTTACCGACTATTAGCTATTGTTGAATTGTTTAGGATGTACATGCGTATTGGGCCTCTGTTTGGATTGTAGTAGTATAGAACTTACGCGTGGGCCTGACCCACTTCTATTTTTCAGGTACACGACAGTTCCAGACTTAAACGTGTTCGTGCTGAGCAGAGGTCTCTATTCATTCTTCCGATAACGTAGGATTCTCTCCATAGCTTTATTTCTGGATGTTTATTACAGTTGTTTTATCTTCCGTTTGGATGTTTAATAGGGGTCCACTAGAGATGGATTCCCGAGTTGTAAACTGAAGGAGTTTTGGGGTTTGGGTTATCAGATTCTAAGTATTTAATTATAAAGGATTTTACTTTTAGTTTCTTCCAGCTTAAACTTTATTTTTTTCTTAAATTCATTTTTGTCATCTGTGTTCGTATTACATATTAATTGTTTGATATTCCCTCGGGTTTGGGCCTGGGCCTGATCAACCCGTGTCTCGGATCCGAGGGGTAGCACAATTACCACCCCTGAACCTGTTTCACATCTATAGTTCTCACCTTTGTGTTCTATGATCCCCCAAAACCCAAAATGAATCTCAATAGGGAGTTGTTGGGACCTTTATTAGGGATTTTTTTGTGTTACCCAAGTGCAATAACTTTTATCTACATCACTATTCTCTCTTTAATGAACCTAAACTCTAATTTATGAATCAGGCAAGTAGCCTCATACAGTTATAACCAAATGTTCAAATTGATTAAAATTTATTCATAATCTATCTAATACATCATTAATTGCTTAAGTTTGATTGATTTACTATTGATTAAAAAACTTCACGGCTATAGTAACTGATTTGAAGCATACTTTGGCTGATATTTCTGATTCCATTAGATTTTTGTTACATTACCTGATACCACAATTTAAAAGTATACTTATTTTATCCTTTTTTACCTTTGTTTTGTAATTATTTTTACATATTCATACCATTTGTATGCACTTAATGGGTTATGCAATGTTCTTCATTGATGAGTGAAACTTATCTTAAATTTTATTTGGTAAGCTAGCTCAGCAAAATATTTGTGTTCCTTCCCACTATGTCCAGAAAATAGGGAATTATATACAAACAGAGTAGCCTAAAATGCTGGTGGTCCATGGACAAGTTTGCTAATTGCAAGGATCAAGCAAAACACAGCAGAGTGATGGCATCTTGCCACATATTTTCTTGTTTTTATTCTTATAACCAGGGTGTCCAGGGCAAAGCCCCGACTAATCCACCGGCGCATGTCCCCTAAGGAATTGTTTGCACCCTGATACTTGATGATGCTTCACATATATTTTCTTGTTATCTGTTTTGATATCCTAACAATCTCAAACGATTGGTATCCTAATTAGAGGAATCTAATCACATTGGCTTACTATAATGTTTTTAGGAAGTGGTACAAGCAGTTTAATGGTCAGAAGCAATATAAAGGGCCACCAAAACAGTTGACAGGTGATGATATTCTGGAACAACTTAACCGCATACCTGAGGTTAGTTTCGAAAAGGGACCAAATAACAAGAAGTGAACTCATGAAAAATTTGAACTTAACTGGACAAAGAAGATGATGATGGAGATGACATTCAATATAGTTTAGATGAGGAACCAAAATTGTTGTCCGATGATGATACTGATTTGGATGACATATGAAGCTTTGTATTGTTGAGCCTGTTCTGTATTTTTTTGGAATCATGATTAGTACATTTTGTGAACTTTATCTAGAATTGAGTTCCTTCTCTTTTTCAATATATTTACCTTTTAGTATCTGTTGAGTGCTGGAAATTAATTAAGTTCATTTGGTTGTGTGCTTCATTACTTTTCTGATTTATTTAAACTAATCTTAGATCACTTGATTTATTTTCTGTTTATGTTTTGAAGTAACCAATATCAAATGATGACTCATAATGTATTCCGCATATGCTTGTTTATTTTTATTTAATATTACTATATCAGCTTTTAAACAGAATTATGGACACTTCTGAGGCACTAATGCGTAGAATATTATGGTCCAACATAGCTCAAACTCGAATTGAGATACCATCTACAAGTTCAGCTGCCACACAACCAAGTGGAGAAGCTGATGGTAGTAACTCAATAAGTCAACAACCTATTATGGAAGGTGCTGGTAATACTTTGCAGACGAGGCCACAACCAAGTGGAGGTGATAATTATGCTTCATCATTAATTAACTACAAGCATTTTTGTAGAATGACTATGTTTTAATTTAGTTGATAATTTTTTTTTCCAGCCCAGTACGAAAACGGCGTGGAAAAGCAAAGAATATAGCCCTACACAAAGCTAAGGAACTCTATGGAAAGGATGTTCCAATTTTGGTAAAGTTTGGGACGGATTATATTAAACCTGTTGGCAAAAATCAGAATTTATGGACGGCTAAGGTTGGCATGCATGCGAGGGATAAAGAAGCGCTATTGAAATATAAAACATGGAGGGAAATTCCAAATTATGAGAGACAAGTCTGCTATGACCATTTCAAGGTAATGAGTTCTTTTTTTTTTCTATATCATAAGGGTACTATATTGATCGGTTGATCAACTATACATCAACCTTCGCAATAGCACGAATCATTGTAAAATAGGGCTATTGGTCGGGTAAGTCGAACCACTAGGACTGCGCTAATCTATGGCAACCTAAGTGTCTAGAGTCATTTTAGAGTGATAAGGTGTAATAAAGAGTTGTTGATTGGTTTGTCACTAAGCTAGAAATGTAAAGATGCATAAAATAATAAATGGAAGGAGATTAAAAGGAGTGAAACTTAGGTGGAGAGGACTAGGGAAATGAATCCACCACACACCTCATAAACATGCTAGCTTGCAATTAACTTGGGGAGCTACTTATGTAAATGACCATGATATATAGAGATGCATGATAACTACACTATCTTCAAGAAGTTCATACAATCAAGAGCTAAGTATAAACCATCTAAGTATAATCCCCTAGGAATGGCCTATCAAATCCCTTACTTTGTATGGTAAATGCACATGTAATCAAAGACTAAGTATAATCCATCCACGGTTGGTATGAACCATCTACTTAATTACATTAAACTAGGGGTGTAGTATGATTCATCGTTCCTAGGAATGGACTATCAAAACCTTCACAAGACATGCCAAGAAAACCATTTCATAATCTCATCTCCATTCCCACTATGAAGATGCAAGCTATAAAATCATGAGAGAATATAACCTAAAACAAGATGATAAAACTCAACATAATCATTAATAGAAATTAAGATCCATTACAACATGTGTAGAGCTCTAGATTATGAAAAATACCACATACATACTTCATTCCCCAAATTAAGAACAAAACTAGAGTATGCTTACAAGGGAGGCTTCATCACCTCCCTAGAAGAAGAGTTAGTTACCCATTGGAGCCTTAGAATGAAGAAGAAGCTTGAACTCCATCTCCAATTTTCGAGCTCCCCTTTGTTAGCTTGAAGAACTCCTTTCTTTTCTCTCCTCTCTCTCCTCTTATCTTCTAAAAATGAATGATAGGATGCATGTGGCCCTTAGTTGCCTTATAACTTTCAACCAAGCTCTCTCTCTCTCCTCCAAAGACATTCCCAACCACTCCATAAAGAAGGAGGGTGGAAATGTGGAAACCATTGCATAAGTGGGCTGAAGAGGGGTTCATTTCCGAGCTGCAATCTGGCTGATTTTCGAGCACTCGAAGAGTGGTCTCGAGCACTCTAAATTAGTGTAATGTGCAACATGCTCTTCTTGCTCAGCACTGACCTACTTTGGTAAAACTGCTATAACTTTGTGCCCTGAACTCCGAATGATGATCTGTTTAAAGATTTGGAGAGCTGATTCAGTGCTTTAAAAACTTCATGTTTTGATGAAGACCCAATTCTCAAGTCTGGTTGGTCGAAAATGGGGAGAAAGGCAGTACTTCAGTGCTGCCAGGCAGTTCTGCGCACCTCTGTTAAGAAGATCATAACTCTCTGTTCTGAACTCCGAATGACGAACCGCTTGAAGATTTGGAAAGCTGATTCAGAGCTCTAAATCTTTCATGTTATGATGGAAGTCCAGTTCTTGAGTTTGCTAGGTCGAAAATGGCGACAAAAGTCAGGTTCTACCGCTGCCAGAATTTCAGAATTGGCACCCTTTTTGTTCATAATTCCACAAGGCATCATTTTTGCTTCCTTTTTGCACTTTAACCTGAAAATGCACAAAAACATGCAAATGGAGTTAATCTACATAAAATAATCAATTAATGGACTTTGTTAATGTAATTTAGGGCGCCTGAATATACAGTATTCAACGCTTATCATATATCATTTTTAATACTTTTTTGTTGACTTGTTTATTTTTCATATTTTTCAGTGCTATTTGTTGTGTGAATTATTGGGCTCTTTGTAACTTAAATTAAATGTTCATTATAAAGGTGACCTTTGGAGTGGATGCACATGACAATGAAACTGATTTCAAGCGAGTAACTAAAGAAATGTCTGAACGTTTGAGGAAATATAGATATAAATTGAAGAATCATTTTGGCAAGCATCTTCCAATTGAGAATGCACGCTTTGATATTGATGTTTGGGGAAAAATGTGCGATTGGTGGACATCACCAGAATTTCAAGTTCGGATTTTTAACCACCTGCTTTAAATTATTTACTTGAAATCATTGATTATAATACATTGATTGACTAGCTATTTAGATTTCTTAACTTGCATTATTGTTTGAATTGCTGTGTAGAAAATAAGTGACAGAAATAAAGTCAACCGTTCAAAGAATGATACTCCACATGTTTCTGGATCGATGTCTTTTGCCAGACGCTATGATATTTATGTACGTAATATTTAAAATAATAATTATAAAATTTCAATTTATTATCCATCTAAATCATATTTTGTGTTGCAGCTGAAATAAAGTCAAGAAAGGCAAGAAAGGCAAAACGAAGAAGATAAGGAAGTTGAAAGTCCCGAGGAAGGTCCTGCTATTCGCTTGTACAAGGACACGCATTTTAGGGAAGAAACTGGATGAGTAAACGAGAGAGCTAAGCAGAACTACGTAAGTTTTTTTTTTCCCATTTTACTTTCTTTTTATTGTTCTTAATGTGTTATTATTTCCATCTTGTTTGATAATAAGATTATGTGTGTATGTGTAGTAAATTAGTTACAATATTAGTATGCTTAGAAGAGGAGGATGTTTGGAAGAAGTTGGTGATGAGTTGTGTTTATATATATGTGGGCAAGGAAAATAAAATGTATACGGAGGCACTAGGCAGGGGTAAAAAAACATTAATTTTACATGGGCTATATTGCTAGCACAAAATATTTGTATAATACAATGTAACTGGAACATTTGGTTGTTGAGATATCACCATAGGGCATAGTGACCAAAATAAAGTAGATATGACTCATCAATACTTGAATTCTAACAATGCTAGTTATCTTTCATAACATAAGTGAAGGTAAAGCAACTAGGCTCACTCATGGTGAGAGTTTTGTCCACTCTGTTTGAGCTCTGGTGTATATATTTTAAATCATTTACTACTTTTATACCCCTCTTTACAATGAACTCCGTCACCTAGACTTATTGGATTTCACAAACCCCTCTTTACAATGATTGTAGATATACAAGTTTGAGTACAATAAATGACATCCCTCAGTGGATGAATACACAAGTATAAAGGAATACAAGTTTGAGTACAATAAATGATATCACAAACCCCTCTTTATATCTCTCTCAGATATATAACCATTTTAGCATTTAATGCTCGGGTATGTGGTTGTTGGATCTGTCAGATTTTGAATTTTTTTGTATTTGCAGTTGGCCACAATAGAGTTTTAGATGGCTACTCCTAGATCCACTTTTTCCACAACTTGTTTTAGAAGGTCAAATCTTCATTTGTAGCAGGCTACTTAGAGTTCAGTTCATATTTTACATATATATACTGGTTTTTGCAAAGTAGATGGCTACAAAACCATTTATAGATGGCTAAACTTATGATTCAGAATGATGAATTTCAGTTTTAGACGGCTTGATAATGATCTTTATAATTTGATATTGAAACAAGCCGTTTTTACCATTATTGCAACTCTTTTAACATGACATTAGTCCAAATGGTATAAATTCTTCCTCCCAAAGTGAAGGTGAGGGTTTGAGCCCATAATGGACATTCATGAGTGAGCATTTACCTAACTAGAAAAAGAAAAGAAAAAACAAAGTGACGACTTCACTGTTGTTCAGCCTAAGATGCTATATGCAATTTTTGTTTTGGAAGTAAAAAAAGCAACTGACATATATGGGATACGGACTCGGGCCATTTGGCCACAAACACCAACACTCGTTATCATACCACACCCAATGCTATATGCAATTGATGAAGGTGGTGTCTACTAAGCTAGTAACTGAAGTCAGGTCCAGCCTTCAGTTGGGAAGATTTAAGGGACAACAAAGGGCTTGATAGTTAACAGGACTAGGTAGAATATATATCACTTTTTTGAATTATAATTATTTTTAGTAAATAAAAACAAAACTTTCTGAGTAATTTGAATAAATAAAAATAAAAGAAGAAAATAACACATCCAGTGGGATCTCTACGTCACAACATATTCAGAAACATTTAATATTACAACAAAGTTCTTCTTGCTGTCCCTGTAGACATGTTTATAGATATTCAAGCATAATAAATATCTTACCGAGCTTGCTGGAAGTACAAACTACATTCAGGGAAGGTGTTCACAAAAGTTGAAATGAGTTCTGGTGGCAATGATTGTCCTTGTACCAAAACTTGGTGGTATCTCTCTATTAATGACACCACAATGCTTTGCTGGTTGATCTCTTCCAAATGGCCTATATAACCCCATCATACAACAGAAGAAACAAAGGATTCAACAAAAAGTTACAAACACAAATTCAACGAGATAACAAGTAAATCATCATCCTACATGCCTTATATATTATACATTATACCTTATACCTTATACATTATACATGTTACAACAAGAAATGGTTTCTCATTTTGATTCCTAAATTATATCATTATCTTGTTTATATCCCCGGTGTAACTTCGGATAGTTATTGGCGTAGCAGCTGTCAAAACAACGAATATTTTAGAATCAATCAATTCCAAATTTAATCATGCTACTTATCAAAAGTTGAGATGTATGCAAATAGACATTAATCACGATGAAGGTGTGCCAATAAATTAGTATGAATAAAGCTTATACAGTGACTCCATATAAGTTAATTATATCCCAAAAATGATGAAACCATTAAATTGATCAGTTTGGGACAAGTTGATGAGCCTAAAATAACCTATCACTCATTGCATGGGTCCGAGTTCATTTCATTTGATTTGCTAGGTAAAAGGCTTCCAATGTTGATCCCAAATACTGAAAGTGCATAGGGTTAAAGATAGATCTTAGGCGTAGGCTTTGCTTATGTTCTTGTCTGTCCCAATTATACCAGTGTACTGATCCTTACTTACCATAATCTTTGTTGATGCTCCTTGTGCGCAGCCTGCGCGATAGGAAAGTTTTTTATAGATGAGAAGAGCAGAAGTGAATAAGTCAGTGATGTCCTATATATAAGTAAGATCCTTTTTTGACTTTCACTTAAAGAGCTTTAGCTAGCTTTTTTTCTTCCAAAAATGGAAGTGAAGAACAAATCTCTCACTCATTCCTATTCTTTATATACATACATAAAAAAAAAAATTCATCGTGACTTATTTTATAGTTAATTTTTTTTATTAAGCTACTGATGTTTAACATTACATTAATCTTAATTTCAGGATGAAATGAAACAGAAGTTTTCACAAGTTTTTCACAATTCTGATGGTACCAGTCATATCATAAATGATGTTGAGATAGTGGAAAACCAATTAGGTATCAGAAAGGGATATCGTCGTGGGTTCGGAAATGGTTTTGTAGCTCCAAGCCATCAACGTGCATCCTCATCTTTTGAAGCGGCTTCCAGAAAAAGGGTAAAAAATGTTGAAGAAGATAATGCACAACTTAGGGAGAAAGTTACAAATTTGGAGGAGAAGTTGGATACATTTCAGCACCTCCTTGAGCAGCAACACACCTCCTTCAGCAGCAACAACAATAGCAACAGCAGCTCCAGCAGCTCCTTGAGCAGCAACAACAGAGCCAACAGCCGCCACCACGATTCCACCAACAGCAACATGCCCTACCAAGCTGGTATCAGCAGCCACCAACATGGTGGCAATTTCAACACCACCCACTAGCACCACCACAACAATCACCTGAATGAACTATAAAGATAATTATTTTAGTAGATATATTTTGGAGCTTTTTGATGGCTAGCTAGCTGATTTCTAACTATTTTGGTAGTATATTTTTTGCCTGCATTTTCATGATTGCATTCAGTTTAAAATGATGTTTTAATTTATATCAGATGTTTAATTTATAACAGATGTTTGAGACATATTCCATGCACCGTATTGTGGTGATAATCTATTTTTTGCTTTCTAAAATGATATTGTGGATGAATGTACATTTTAGTTTTCATGTTTTAATATATAAGGTGGATGTGGTGTATTTTTAGAAAAAAAATCCAGTAGAGCAGATGAATGTACATTTTAGTTTTCATGTTTTGATATATAAGGTGGATGTGGTGTATTTTTAGAAAACAAATCCAGTAGAGCAAAAATAATAATAATAATAATAATAATAATAATCAACTATTAGGGACAGTACGAAATGTGACTAATAAATATTGTATTAGGGACGGACAAGAAAACTATCCCAAATACATAAACTATTAGGGACAGTAAATACCGTCCCTAATAAGTCAAAGGGGGACGGTCTTATTTGGGTAGTAAGTCCGTCCCTAATAAATGAAAGTGGGACGGGCCTTTTCGGGACAGTAAGTTCGTCCCTAAAGGTTGATTTTTTTAGGGATGGACAATTTTTACCGTCCCTAAAAATTATTTGTGACACAACTATTAGGGACGGTCAAATTTGATCATTAGGGATGGTCTTAGGGTTTTTAGGGATAGATTTGGCTGTCACTAAAAACCTAATTTCTTGTAGTGATGGTTTGAACGATCACTGTGAGATCGATCTGAGTTTGGTCTGATCGATCGAATATTGCTGTTTTCCACCACTTTGCTTCTACTTTGCTCCTTTATTCCATTTAGCTTGAGATTGCTTCTTTTATACTCTAATTTGGCTGAATTGACTTATTTTGGGGATAAGTGCCTGAAAATGGTAAAAACATGAAATTAGTTTCAAATAGGAAAATAAGATAGATAAAGGTTCTAGAATACTCGAGCTTAAGGGGTTTAAATGCGCACTTTTTAGCGCTCATCACTTATCAACCTTTAAGGCCTCCATCTGCACTATTTTCGGCGTAAAGTGAGACAAGGAGGTAAACTCCGCTTCATACTCTGTAATGCTCACCATTTCCTAAATTAACATAACGAACCTCTTCCTTAACTCTTTTCTAACCGTCACTGGAAAATACTTGTCAAGAAATAATTCCTGAAAAGTCTCCTAGCCCATTCCCTCAATGACACGAGTACTAATGATCGATTTCCACCAAACACCCACTACACCCCTGAGCTGTGAAGTGGCAAGCCTAACCCTCGTGTTCCCATCTTCAATCTGTAACATCCCAAATGTCCTCAGAATTTGGTCCACCCACTGGATTGCCTCAAAGGAACTCGATTCACCCGAAAACAAGGGAAGGTTTGACTCCAGAAAGCCAGGCCAAACGATCCAAGCTCTATCCTTTGCAATATGTCTCGTCAACTCGTACTCATCATCCATCATGTCAACACTCTAAAATGACACAAAAGTGAGTGATTAATCACACCTATGAAATTAATTACTCAACTCACACACAATCACCACCATGATATCAAAACAGATAAAAGGGCTCCCACCATCGAGACCCCACAAAATGCATCCTTCTTATATAAGGAAGAAACCCTACAAGGCAAGAACGCATCTAAGGGTACTATAGACTCCAAGAGACAATAACCTATCATTAATCTCACCCGACCGAGCATGAACAATGCACGAAGTCAAACACGATAAAAAAAGATTTTCTAGTCACTAAGATCATATGCAAAACCTTATGATAAAATACTTTACTAAATTACACCTCCGATTGTCACTACAACCATTTTAAACATGTAGCATACATTTATTTGTACACGTAAGAATGCTAAGCACTTAGCATAAAGCATTATAACATGATCACATAAATGCATGAAACATAAGGCATGACAATATAAACAACATATAGATCATGCCAAGGCAGTTAAGGAACGCTGTTAAACACTTAAGCACATAAGCATATAACACTTCAAATTATGTTAAGTTATACAACGAAAACATGAAACACTTAAGCATATAAGTATAAAAATGCCAAGTAAACATGAAGTATGAAGAAAACTAAAAACCCATCGTCCATGGTGTTTGAACTCGGACGCTCTGATACCACTTGTAATGGCCTTAATTCCAAGCACCCGGAGCGTTAGCGAGTAACCTGAGGACATGACCCAATAATGAGTCCATAATACGGAAGTAAAAACAAAAGAAGTGGTTAATAGAGGTAAAAGACCCTCTAAGACAACAAGAAAATCAAATAAGAGGTCAAAAGACTCATTTCAAAGGCAAAAGCAGAAGTTAAAGACAAAACGGGCTAAATCCGTTAATCAAAGGTAAAGTAGTCATTTCACAAACAAGAAGAGAAATCCAACTCTAAACAAGTGAAATGAGGTCCATTCAGCCTAATCTAATCATTTTACAACATTCTAAGAGGTTCTAAGAACTTTGGTTATGAATCCCACAAAATACCCTTTCCCAGTTTAAGCAAAATCCGACACTGTTTCACTAAAACATGAATAACTTCCGCTATGATCTGAATCTGAGAATGGAATTGGTACCATTGGAAAGCTGACTAAAAATACTAAAAGATAAGATCAAGAATGACCCCATTTGGATTAGAAATGAAGGAGATATGGCCATCTGAAGTTGGCATGACAAGCTGTTCAAGAAAAACTGAAAAGGGAATGCATCAGGGAAGATCAGCAGGCCAATGACAAGAATCAGCCAGTCAAAACTTAATGTTCATCCAGCCGAACCCCAATGTTTAGCTGGCCAAAATGGCCTATAAAGAAGTAAACTCATTAGAATTGTTTATGAAAGGCTATCAGCCGACCGACAGAAGTTGTCAGCCGACCGATACACCAAAAAACATAAAAAATAGGTCTGATGTAGACATGAAAATTTGGCTCAGTCCAATTCTAATCCTATACATGCATCCCGAGCGTCCCAAAACTGATTGTAAAACATTCTAAAGTTTCATACAAGCATCCAAAACATGGAAAATCAATGGAAATGTGTAAAGCATGCTCAATTGCATAATTTAGCACAAAACATGGAAATTTTTTTAAAAAATAGCTCTAAGGCCTCAATTTTAGAGTTGTGTACTGTGTTACCATGGCTCACGGCCTTATTACATGTCAAATACAAAAAATCATGTTTCATACGTCCAAAACTATAAAATTTACATACTTAGCATACATTAAAAGTGTTTGGCCCTCGGCCTCATTTCATATAATTTAAAGTACATCAAGGAGCGTGTTTAGGTACATATTACACTCATAAGAGAGGAAGCAAGTCATACTTCTAACTACATTACACATTGTCGACTAAAAAAGGACATAAACCATGCTAACACTTGCATGTCAAAGGTATACAAAAGGTGTTTGAAATGTAAATACAAGTCGAACTATGGATGGTTCGCATCCGAGAAAGATGTCTCCTTGCCTGCAAAACATACAATTAACTAGGGGTGAATAATTTGAAATTACTCGTAGAATGATGCTCATGCGTATAACTTAGAGTTTTAAGAGTCTTTGCAAGTATAATATAAACGGCACAACATGTGGATCATGCTCCCTAATGTCTAATTTCAAGGGAAAACTAAGGGATCATCCTAAAGCTATCATTAAAACATTTTTGGAGCAATCCGCAACAAGAAACATATTCTAACAAGATCGGAACAACCAACGCAAAACAATAAATTATAATTACTTAACCGTATTAACTTGTAAACAAATGTGAAATCAAATCAAAGGAATATACTTGCAAGAACAACTATTACAAAACTAGTAGAACTGTGATGTTTCTGATTTTTCAGCATTTTCATTTTTCCAATAATTCGTGGAGACAAGGGTATTTTTGTCGTTTCGCATGTTGTGTTCGAGATTGTGGTTGGGTCCATTTGCATTGTGCATTTTAATTTATGTGGGTTGAGTAGTATTTTTATGTAGTGGTGCACTATATGAGTTGTGTGGTGTAGAAAATGGAAGATTAAATAAAAAGAAATTTCGGGGCCCACCACTATTTCAAAAGTGGTCTAGAGACCACTATTTTGCTTCACACTTTCTCTCTCCCCGTAAATCCCTCTTCTCTCTTAATTTCTCTTCCATTTTTCTTTTCTTTTTGAGACAACTTTGATCCTTCATTTCATCTTCATTACTTATCGGAATTGGGTGCCGTTTAAGCCAAAACGTCGAGCACATCGAGCTCTACGCATCCATACCTGAAATTCCAGATTTGGTGCCCTCCTTGGAGTTCGAATTTGAGGACCCATTTCAAGGGTTTTGTCCATTTTCAAGGTAGGGGCCCTTAATCCACTTCCTTCTTGTTCCATTGTGAGTTATCTCTCCTTTGTGTGATAAACATGCTTAATTTGAGAGTTAATTGTTTCAATGTTGTGTAATTGATGCCCAGAGAAATTCATGATTTTGATTATGATTTGTTCTATGTGAAAAGCATGTTGTGGTGATAGTTTTGTTGTGCTTAATGTGTTGATGACTCAATTGATGATGTTGAATATGATATATGTTTAGTTGTGAAGTAATTATGAAATGTAAAACTTCTACATGCCATAATATTGTAAGCTTGAGACACATATACATGTACATGCCATTGGGTTGCATGAAATGGGAGAAATCAGTTTTTGAAATGAAAACGGGAATTTTGGGAGAAGAGTTTTTGTGAAATGGTTTTGATAAACCCGGTCGCTGCGGGGTTACCAACGGGCCGGAGGTTAATATAGCCTAGAGGGGACTAGGGAATCGCCCTAGCGTGGTTGAGCTAGCTGGGCCCATAATGACGCCGCGGGGTTACCAAGGGTCAGGGACACTAGCCAATCCTCCTCTCGTGTCGCGGGAGGGTTACTAATGGGCGGGCTGTATTAACAGTTGGAAAGTATGGTTTTGAGAAATGAAAATGGGGAGTGACATATCATGCATTGCATTGCATTGTTTACACTTGGAATTGACATTGAAGTTGTTTTAACCCTACATTGCATGATCCCTATTTTCCATTGGCCTATGCTTTGATTGGATTCACAAGGACACAAGATGTGTGTCTTAACTGTCACTTACTGAGCATAAAGCTCACCCTACTATATATTATAT